AGTACAAAATTGTACTTGTGTACGATTTCAGCAAATAATTAATAAAAGATAAAATTGTTTAACCATATGCATCGGAACGCTTAAAAGAAAACAGAAGCGTATCAATCAAATTAAACATATCAAAGGAACAACATCCGATTGCGACCTTGCCAACGGACCAGAGCAAAAACGATAAGAAAATTAGAATAGAAATGTCGTACAATGGGAAGCATTCGTCATTTGCTCACCGATCTCGCAAGGTGGATGATCTCAGAGCATCACTGTAACATGCATATGCACGTTACATTAGCCGTGTTTGTTTTGGCGACCATCTTGACTACTAACATCAAAAAACATGATTCTGATGAAAACTGTAATGAAGATATTAAGGAAACCAGTTAAGTGATCACGGATGAACATTCAGTTAAAAGCGTTCACGTAATCGTAGTGTATGTCTGTTTGAGTGTAGCGTAGTGCCAAATGAATGTAGCTTTGATATTAGATGGAGTTAGAATGGTGTTATCTGTCATGTGTGGCGCTGTGAATTTATTGTTACATTTATTACACTATTGTTAGTGCATTGTTTTTCGTGAATTTTTACACGTATAAATGGGACAGGTAAAGTTATTTGTCATTTTTGCAAGAACCAATATTAATCACTATTAGTCCTACTATTGACCTTGGTGGTCATAAGTACAGTATAAAGTTTTGTATGAATATCAAAAGATCGACAAAACGCGACATCCAAGATCTAAAGTAATCCAATCGAGAACAGACTGAATTCGCGGCATATTTTAAATCAAAATGAGGTCAAGAACTACTTTCCAACGGACGAAATAGCAAAGTAGCAATTATATTAAATTAGATAGACATTTCAGATTGATGGTGACGTACTAATTGTAGTTTGGAAGCATGTACTAGTTTTAATGCAGACAAAACTTCAAACAATCCGCCAGTGTAATAGAGAGAGCGTAAACTGAAGCAGTCTGGGGTCGTTGGAGCGGCTAAAAGTATTTTAACATTAGGTGAAGCTGCACTTTGAGTGACAGGAACACAGATGTCCCCAATAGTGATTGACGCGGTGTCCATGCACTATACCGCCTCACGAATTAATGCTTTTGGCATATCACCAAGCTCTAACTTCGCTGCTATAGATGTAGACTCGCCTATCTGCAGTCGTAAGTATTCAGCTTTAGCTGTTTAAAAATACAACGACTTTTCTTTACTTGTTTTTCCTTTAGTTTTTTTATAAATACTGAGAATATTTAGGTCGTATTGCAATAACAATAAACACTTTAAAAGCACTTGTAAAACCCCAACTTTGCTTGACCAAACTATCAAATGTAAGCATAACAATAATTAAAATGCTGAATTATAAACTTATATCATGACATAAATTACCCTATTAAATTTTCATCATCAATGACAATAATAAATTTGAATATAATTTCTTTTCCACGTGTACTAATCCATATTTTTCTTTGTCTAACTGAAATAAATACATATTTACAACCAGATTCCTTAATAAAAAACAAAAAAACATTAATCAACCTATAAATGAAGGGGGAGAGACAACATCAAACATGGCGTGAGAGTCACCAATAAAGGTTATTTGAAGAAATTCGATAACGTACTGTTACGAGATAGGTAACTAGGTTGAGCGAATTGGTTCATGTGCTCGGTAAAAATGCTGAACATATTTGGTAGAAAGCAGAAAAAGAACATTGATTTAAGATGTTCATCATGTTGCTTAAGTTTAGTGAACCTTTTTGGTAAAGTGATGGAAACCTATTTTATTGGCCAAAAGGAAATGAAGAAGTAGCTAGAAGTGAATTTGTAATATGTATACCTCTGGTTTAGTTTCACTTGTCAATTGAGTCTTGCCAAATCCAAGAGAATAATGAAACAATTGACATCACAATTGTCCATAAAAGACATAAGATCAGAAATGATTGCTAAAGAAATTGAAAATTGAAAAAAGTACGATATCACCCAAACAAGCAAATAACGCCGTCCGCCTTAGATCTACTTACGAACAACAAAAAGCTTATCGTGAAAATAACTAGAGCGAAGCAAAATGTAGTGAACAATATCCAGTGACTTAGACCTTCAGTTTTCCACCTCATAACACATTATCTTGGCCATGGAAGCCATCAAGAGTCCCCTATCTTGGCTGCACATTGTGGGCGTGATGACGTACATGAAAGCCAATCTATGAGTGTTCAATTTTCCACACGGTCGCCCGCGAGACGTGTCGGCGATACAGTCAAGAAATTACGTGGAAAAATTTTGCTCTTAAAACCTTGGGAGAGGGATTTTGTCTCAAAATTTTAACGAATTTTTTTTTTCGCCATTCTTAAAACGTAGTAAAGCTCTGTCAGCCCTTCGTTTTTAAGATAACGAAGTGGAGTTAAATGATGAATTCTCGACGAGTCAGCTCGAGAGATACCACGGCCTCACAAAAACCGGCGTGAACCAACCAGAGTTGTGTATCGCCGTGTGAGTGAGGTTACCGAAGTAACCTCACTCACACGGCTTGTCTATCAGGTTACCGAAGTAACCTCACTCACACGGCTATACACAACTAAAGCCCAATCCCTACCCCGCCCCTCATTCCTTCCTTAAATATCGGAAACCCTTATCCCCAAAACCTGTATGTGTCCCTGGGGGCGCTGATTGCTTACCATCAGGTTATATGTCTGCTCGTTTGCCGACCAATCACGAAAACTTATCAAAATTTGTCCTAATAATCTAAAAAGAATTGTGATGTTTGCCATAAAGAAAACTGGAAGCGTATTTTCTCTGTGCAGTATTTAGTATAAATTTAACAAAATAACATTATTTCAGTGTTAACGATCATTTCGCAGATTTGCCATAAAGAAAACTGGAAGCGTATTTTCTCTGTGCAGTATTTAGTATAAATTTAACAAAATAACATTATTTCAGTGTTAACGATCATTTCGCAGAATAACAACATTGTAAGCGGCTGTCACCACCCAGCAATATGATGACTTTAACTGTTCAGTGTACCTCCGACCCACGTCAGAGAATCAGTAAATTTGACTGAATGTGTTTGTTTATGCTCTGCTTCTTGCAATTTGTTGCAAGTCTGCAATCTGGCAACGAATGGACATTTTTATGTAGTGATGAAATCTTTAAATATGTAACCGAGCCATCGGAAGTTACATAATACGAGTACATGGCAGAACGAGGTACGATGATGTAAATATTGAATCGTTTTCGGGAAAAGAAATGTGGGTTTTTTTAAACGTGGAATATCAAAATATAACGATCACAAAAATAGAACAAAACAATTGATTGTATTAAACTACACATTACATAATTATGACACCAACTCCTCCCGTCATTATGAATTGATTGAATTTTATATTCATCTATAAAAATAATCTGATATTGTGTCATAACTATCTTCTTCATTTTCAAGAAGAAAAATGGGGATATTTTTCTTCTTCACGGCAAATAAAAACCTAGCACAAAACACAATCCGCAGTTTACTACCAGAACATTAGTCAGAACCATCACTTGAATCTTAAATAGCAGCATCTCCCTACCAACACATATCATAAAACAAGAGAACACGTCATAAAACAATTCAGGATCATGAGCAAACACTCCAGCTTCCTAGGCCAGACCAGACGAAGCGAAACTTTGAATCACACGCTCTCGAATATCGATATTGTTCCGAAATTAGGTTTCAGTACCAAAATAGTTCTTCTATACATAACAACTGCATAATACACGTGTGTTCCAAGAACCATAAAATTGAGTGACGTCCGAAGGAATCGAATGGTAACAGGAGACGAAGAGAGGTTTATTATTTTACTTGATTATTTCCCAATGTTTAATTTAATACACATTTGAAATATTCTTGCACATAACATAACTATAAATTCTAAATGTTTTTGGTAAACGTAAAACTTAGCGTGTTTAATAAGTCCGTTTAAGTTTAACACAGTGAACATAAATGGATAAATACAAAAATGTGCGTAAAAAAATATTACTAACGTAACAGTAACGTTTTGGGAAGTAAATCGAATAGTTTCGAACCTCGCTCTGGGCTTATAGTATAGAGCAGCGTTGCGCGACAGAAGGCACGCCAATTACGGAAACAAAACAAAACATAGTAAAATTAATTTAGATAATATTATGTGTAAAGTTCCCTATGAACTTTACGAAGATAAAATATTATAAGAACTGAGATACTAATCTTATATATAAAAATGGATCGCAAAATGTGTTGGTAAGCGCATAACTCAACAACGCCTGGACCAATTTTGCTAATTCTTTTTTGTTGTGTTTGTTATTGTCAGGAGAAGGTTCTTATAAAAGAAGATTAGGAAAAAGTGACCCCTTTGATAGCGAGATAGGACCCGTGCGAAGCGGGGGCGGGCCGCTAGTTAAAAATAAAAATACCGATTCGCTTATTATACATATATTCATGCTTATTGTATCCTTAATAATCTGATCAAAAAAAAGCTAAACCACGAGCTGTATTATGACTGGAAAAGAAAATATTTACATACTCCAAATGTAATAATTTGAGGCAATTTTTGAACCTATTGTTAATGTGGTTATAATAAAAAGAAAAACTATAAATCTCAAATTTTATAGGCATAGATATATTTTGGTGGATAATGAATAATATAAATAGAAAGAAAATAAATATAATATACATAGCAAAGTAAAAGAAAAATTAGGCGGAAAATTTATTATAAGCACGAAGTTTATAAAAATACAGCCCATGTTTATTTAATTTCCCTTCGTTTCTGTTTGTTTGTATTCAAAGTGATTTGAGAAGAAAATTTACCAGTTTCCGTTGAGATTTGGAAACCAAAAATAAATAGTGTAACAATAAAATTCACCAAAATAGAACTTCAGAGTAACACGGGACGGAAAATAGTCTAATTTTACGAAATTTGTTAAAAATGTATCACAGAAACCATCAACATAAAAAGTGCTAATTAATTTCCTATATGGGCAATAAACATTGTGTCACTGACCTTGCAATAACTGAATCGTCGCCTGATACTCTGCTAGTTTCTCGTCCACGTAGCCCTCCTGCGACTGCTGGGCTATAATCTCCGCTGTAGAAGGACCTCGTTCCTCTTCGTCCTCCTCATATATCATTGGTCGCGGCGGTGGAGGCGGCTCCAGTGGCACTCCCGCGTAATCATACTCCCGAACCGGTTCGTAAGGAGACGAGTAATAGTATTCCGGACTCTGACCCAAGATCGGGGACATTGGGTAAGGAGAGATGGAAAAACTGGGCGATGGCGAATGCTGCCGTAGGTTGTGAGGGGAGTGTAACGGTCGAAACGGTCTGGGGGATGGATGGACTGGCGGTGGTGTTACTATAGCTGTGGAGTGCCGGGGTCCTGAGATGAGTGGAGGCGGGCTGGGGGCCCATGGTGAAGGGGGACGGTAGTTAAGGGGCGAGGCGGGACCCGGGGGCCGCGCGCGACCGCGCCCTGGCGGCTGAGACATCTCGCGGATTGATTCACGTCAACCCGGTGTCACGCCACCATGTACATCGCTGCAACAAAAGAAAACGAACATTACAATACGGTTCTAGCTGCCACTCTTCACAGGAAACTTTCTTCAAATAACCAAACTCATAAATTAAAGATTCCAAATACCGAAAGACGCATTAAAATTCGGCACAGCAACATTAAGGGCTTAGAAGAATTCTATTCCTGTAGATACACTCCTGGTCTATTTAAAGGCATTCCTAAAGGGTTACGACCCACATTTACGCGGCTATAGACAAAACGCGCGGAACAGATGCCCCAATACGTTTATTATGTACAAATGGTTTCTTAAGTGTATTTATTGAATAGTGATAATATTGGAATGTATAGGTTCGAGGTTGTAAGAAGAATTTTGAGAGCATCAGTTTAGCTTGCCAAACGTTATACAATGCTTACAGACTTGGAATGATAACAAAAAGTAAAAACATATTGTGGGTAAGTGTCCGTCAGTCGTTTGTTATAGAGCTGGCTAGACTGAATGTTAGATAATTTGAGAATGGGCAGGTTCCTGACTACAGTCTAGACTTTTGACAATACTTCATAATTTAGGCATTCTTTAAAAATAAGTATGATACACTCTTGTGTTTCCTCAAATTATTTCTAGTCAAATAAATCAGTTAATAGCCAACACCAATCTTTTGCCGTATGTTCGTTAGCATCCAAGTCTGCGTTGACAAAGGGAGATTTTTCAAAACTAACAATGATCATTTGTGTAATGTAAGATTGAAATAAGGACTCTACAATCCACATTCTTATTCACCAACTTAAATTTTATAATATTAAACATAGTTAAATGAAACGGGAAACTTTAAATCGGTACACTAAGAATTTAAACAAGATTAACTACTAACATTTTAATTTATGTACGCAGATACAAAACGTATGAACTACTACTAATAACTGAAAAACACAAATAGATCTCGATACCATAACAATAACGAGCTGGTATTAAAAAAACGTTCAACTACAAGCTCCATCAGTTTCTTATAAAGTTGATCTTTTACAAGATAAAGTTTATTAGCTATAAGAAAAAGAAGAAAATTAAATGATTGACTTCATAAGTCACATTGCGTAATCCCAACATGTAAAAAACCAAAATCGCTTTTTCTGTCCCTGTATCCCTATGTATGCTTAAATCTTTAAAACTACAAAACAGATTTCGAAGCCGTTTTCTATAGAAAATAGGTTGATTGAAGAGGCAAGTTTATATGTAGGGTCACATCGATTAAATAGTGGAAAAATTTAGTATCAATATTGCAACGGTGCGAAGCCGGGACGGGTTGGTTAATCTTTATAAATTCTCTTACTAGTCTCGTGCTCATTATTATCATCATCATCAGCCTAGTGTCCACTTTTAAGCGGAAGCCTCTTCTGACACGTAAAAAGACTGTAGATATCTTTAACTTGATGTATCAAAGAAGGCCTAATAGGTTATAAGACTGCACTCCTACTTCAAAAACACACATTATGTTAAGTCTAAGTTTACAGTAAAACTTTAAAACCTTGACTGCACCGTGCAATAGCGATATTTTGAAAGACGTAACTGCTAAATAAATTATATTGGACTAAAGCCAATGTCAGGAAGATAAAAAAATGTTTAGAAACAACGCGTTCAGTGACAAGACAGTAACTAGTACTGATCGTGTGAAGAAATCTTTAGGGAGTCTTGACATGAAACGCTTTTTACAAAGACTCCATACTGATGAAAAAAAAGTGGGCGTTGCCTTAGAAGAGAGCGTTTGACAACTAAAAGACAAAACTCTTAGAGCGGTTTGATTATGTTCGTTCTAACTCTGCTATGTTTTCTTGGCAGATTTAACGGCAACTATTGAAAGAAAATTGCCAGCAATTTCTAACGGTTGGAAAATCTACGTCGTCAAAATTCAATCCGGATTTTGAATAGCGCAGTACCTTCTACGATCACGTACTAGAAAGGGACAAAAGACTGCCACAGTCACAAATAAAAAATTGATGAATATTTGAATTTGTTCAGGTTTTTTTTGCATTGTGGTCTGAATGCAAAATGTAGTCTTTCACTTTTTATACTATTTTTTAATATGTAAAAACGTTGCCCCACACTAGGATTTTCTCCTGTGTCGTGGGTGCGGTTACAAACATACAATTTCACAGGCACAAGACGCCCAGACCCGGAACAACAATTTGTGGGTCACACGAAGAGTTGTTCCGTGCGAGAACCGAACTCGCGACACGTTGCACGGCAGCCAGTTGCCCAGCCCGCGCAGTCAAATTCCAATTTATGTTTAAAAAACCTGTCAAATGACAAAATGTAACATACATTTATCAAGTTGTTGGTAAAAGCCAATTGAAATTTAGCCATTCATATTTTTTATTGAAAATATAGGAAAATCTATGAAAATTAACGTATGTAGAACCTTTAGCATAGAGTAGTCAACGAACTTGTACAAAGATGGCCGCCGGCCAGACGTCAAAAAAATTACCACTGGCCAATGCACGGGGTCTGGCCGTCCTCCAACCGTGCCAGAGTGAAGACCCTTTACGTAATACGCTGGAAAAACAGCCAAAGATTGTTATGGTGTGTTAGAAATCATGATCAACGATGACAGGTGACTACGAATTAATAGTCCCTGTGACGTAAACATTGTTATGATGGCCCATTAGCTGTTCAAATAAACAACCGTCACATTTTCCCAGTTATAATATTTTAATCTTTGCTTCTGGTTTGTTTGATGTATTATCTATAGTATAGTAACTGAAAATCAGGATGAATTATAGATAAGGATAGAGTAGGTAGTGTAGTGTAGGTAGAGTAGGGTGTGTAGGGTAGGTAGAGTATAGAAGGTAGAGTAGGGTGAGTAGGGTAGGTAGAGTAGAGAAGGTAGAGTATGGTAGGTAGATTATGGTAGATAAAGTAAGGTAGGTAGTGTAGGCTATATAGAGTAGGGTAGGTTGAGTAGGGTAGGGTTGGTAGAATAGGGTACGTAGAGTAGGATATGTAGTCACATGACGGGAGCGACACCGCGGGTAAGAGCTAGTTATTTTTATTTTGAAGTTTCATTTAACGTACAAATTGAAAGGGCTACAATACTACCATCCCACATTTTAATTATTAGTTGAAGGTAGTGTAATATTTTAAGTATGTCATTTGATGACAAAATGATGCTTGGATTAGGCAAAACATGTTGAATTCAAAACTATGAATATCGTCTATGGAACTGTGTTTGCAGTTAGATAAAAGGCTTATTAAAATGATAATATAAATAAACCTCTGCAAACAAGAGCGTGTTTAAATAATGTTATATTTCTTGAAACAAACCAGAGCTCGTAAAAAGCAGATCAATTAATTAAATTATTTGGGTAAATGTACCAGCTTGACGAAACTGTAAAAATAAATTTCAAAATAAATAACACGGGTAACAGGAGATGTTTAAATCACGTATGTTAATATTTATAAAAATGCGGTAGGCGTGCGCGTGGGCACCCATCAAAGTTACAAAAAATATAAATCAATAGTGTATATGAAATATTTCCGGATGGAAAGTTGTAAATTGTCTAACATATCATAAGTTTATTTTGGGCACAGAAACCTGTTTTCAGGGCAATTTTTGTAAACCAACATTTCATATGACCTAGCCTATCTATGAATCACACGTTCGACCCTTAAGCTTCAAAGAGCGAATAATCACCAGAGCCGGGGATGTACGGGGCCGATGATCAGCCAGGGTTTCGGCAGACCAGCACAATAATGTATCGCGGCCTCGGCCTAAAGCATAAGGAACGGGAAGGTTTTTAGTCAGTAAGAGTCTGACATTTCCTCTAACCTCATCCTGGGCGAGAGGAGACTTTGGAAGATTGTCCCTATCGCAAAAAAAATTTAGTCTCAAATTTAGTCCAAGTTTTTAGAAGGACTAAAGCAATGAGGCTTATAACACGATATTAATATTTTCATATTTTCTACTTCACGTAAAGTGCTAATCGGTTTTTGAACTTAGCATTATTATAGACTGTCTTTTAGTCTTTTGCATGTACGATATGCAAAAGCTTCTGTCCTTCTAAAAATATAACTTGCCAAGATTAGCGAAGCAACAGTGATGCTACTTTTAAAATTCGAGCTCCATTTCTTTCCAAGAAACCATCGAGCTACCCCTCATCAAATTAGTTCTACCATTTCCACGCTCTGACAGGTCTAAAATCAGTTTTTCTAGATCACTATGTCAATCCCAACTGGAGTCAATACGCTGTTATATCTTGGCTCTCCAACGATGCCAGTGATATAATCGACGGATTTAGAACCAAAATCCTACCCAGTTCATGATGTATGGCTAATTTTGTATCTTTTCTTTTAACTTTATTACGTATTCTGACGTAACGTGGGTTGGTTCTCGGGGCCATTGTCGAACTTTAGAGAATGGTTTTGATAGATTTACAATACATGATCAATCGTTAAATATTGAATATTGATCTAGGTTTTGACCTTGAGAATATCTAAGACAAAAAATATGACTGATTCCGAAGACACCTTCAATTATGGAATTGATACTAGCTAACCTCGAGAGTGTTTTTAGAACGATTTTTGAATGTTCATAAAGTTTTCAGTTTCCAATGCCACAATTTTTGTGTGAAACCACAATAAAATGATGAAGAAAATGAATACAGCATCAGGAACGTGATTAATATAAATAAATCCAACAGTTTGTGGGTCAGTGACTTTGGTTTGACACACTGAATCATACATATGTTTAGCATCTCACACAATTATTGCATCAACTTTTCAGCGGAGCGCAGATTTGGTAACGTTTCAAAGCAGTAAAAATATTTTCAAATGTAATAACATTTTTTTTTTGAGAAGTTTTCTAGGAAAATCTGTTTTGTATGATTTTATTGCAGAAATATCTTGTTAATTAGGATTTATTACTACTTAAGCTTATTTTCGACCAGTCAGCAACAGAAGCTTGTGATGGATAGCAACATAAACGGAGCACACTCTAAAAAAATCCAGTGCCTAGAAAACAGAACAACTATTGTATTTAAAAAACTTTACTTGGACATGATATTTTCATAGTTCCTTCATTCTTATACTGACTGTCTCATATGTCAAAAATTTGAAAACCATACGATTACGAGGTTTTCGGTTCGAAAGAGTAATGGTGTTCCTGTTCAAGCTTGTGTTTTTATTTATATGCAATACGAGCCTGAACACTGGTTACTCTAAATTTTCAATAAGGCATTTACTTCAGGTCTAGCACTTTTCCTAATCCTACCCTATATATCGACAGACACAACATCACATAACTATTAATAAATAATATACACATTAGATGTTCCAAACATTTTTCAATTGTGACAGTGCGGTATCTGAAGCGTATGTATTTGTTAGTAGTTTGGCTAACCGCCAGGGTTTAGGCGTTACTTCTGAACTTCATTTAAAAATGTACTGAACCTTCAAAACACAAATTAAAAAGTCTAACGTAAATCCTAATTATTTTAGTGGAACTGACCTAGTTGTTATTGAACGGACTATAAATAAAAGGTAACCTTGTGTTTCGGAGTATATCCGTTAGGCACTAACGTAGGTAATGTCGGACGTTTGAAAAACGATAATGTTTTCACAATTTTGTGTAACAATCATGTCCTGAAATTAATTTATTTGCAACTATCAAAAACTTTCGCAATTTCTATTAAAGGTGACCTATGCGGAAATGAATCTAACAAATGAAAATTCATAATATCTTATTAAACTTCAACGCTTTAATGAAGCTAGGTACACTATGAAGATACGCTCAAAATATCTACATTTGTAATCGTTTTTTTTTATTTGTGTATCGCATACCCAAACTAATATAATACCTATTAATTTACGGTTGCGGGTCAAGCCCAATAATATACACGGCGTCAGCCGGGAGCAGGAAGGAAGAAGGGGGTGGTTTTCAGTCAGTAGATATTTTTTTTTTACTTGCAATAAACTAGTGCTTGACTGCGATCCCACCTGATGGTAAGCAGTGATGCAATCGTTGATGATAAGGCGCACTAGTTTATTAAGAGTCTATTCACTCTAGCCTTGAAGACACCTAAATTGTATTCGGACGGAAAGACTGCAGCCAGCAAACAAATCCAATCCCTCGAGATACGCGGTATAAATGATCAGTAGATAAGCATTTTTTCTAAGACTAACTTGCTTTTGTTTTTCGTATATTTTATTAGCTCTGCCATTTCCAATATACACCATGCTGAGAGAACAATATGCGTAATTAATTGGTCCTCGGAACACGTCATCCAATTCAACATTTAGACAACTGCCGACATTACTATCTATCCAAAAGTCTACCTCGAAAAAATGGCTGCTACTATTAGCCACATCTTGGTAACTCGTCTTTCAAATAAAACACCTATGAATCGTCGACCTAATTCCGTCTCGTTTTGTTTGCATAGACCGATATATCATCGGCTCAAATTCGGTTTAGCGTTTGATGTAGGTATTGAAATTAGATCAACAATAATTCTATACTTAGAAAGTTAGGTAAGTTCAGTGTACCGCCAACGGTATGAGGAAGTCTGTTTAACAGTGATCAATTGTTTAAAGGGAATGTTTTCTGAGAAGATTCTGCCATTGCTTTAATTAGGTGCGATCGCAATTAGTGTTTTACAGCAGCTATTAAGAAGTATGTCAAAATACGCATGATCATTCTTCTTATGTAAGCTTTCATTTCAAGTCTTAAGAAAATAAAGATGATAGAACGAAGAAACACTTCATTAAGTCAAGGTAAAATTTCTTAACACGTTGGACGCCGTGGGGGAGACCGTGTGGGCCACGCTAGCGGAGGATTTGCCTTCAACAGTTTTCTGTCGGCATTTATAGGCTTAACGACCAATTACTTATTATCATGGAAAAAACATTAATATTATAAGGCATTCCATTTTTTACCTCGGTAGACATTGTATGTAATTTATTTAAATCCTCTATTAAGGGTAGATCTTCAATTCGATGTAACGGAAACAGTGATTCACTTTTAAAGGTACTTTAAAACATAAATAAAAAAGAAGTACGCTATGAAGCTACGCCCGAAATATCCGAATTACGTTACCGTATTAAAGTTCTGTTTGTAAACAAAGGGGTGACTTTATTTTCTGTAAACACGCACGCACGATCCACGCTTACGATCCGTTTTAAATACGAAGTACCCGGTCTGTAAATAGCCATTACCTGTCGGTATGACGACAGCCAAAATGCATAACCAATCTTAGTCCCGTTCCAATCTCGTGATTAATTATTAATAACCGATTTAAATCCAAAGATTTTAGATTAGGGTATCAATTTCCAAAATGTTATACTTTGGTCTTAAAATATTGTTAGTTGAACATCTACTCCTGTAATCATTTTCAATAGGCAACCGAGGTCAAACACGGTCAACTACTTCGAATTGTATTTACAAGGATAGTTTTTATCAATTATTGTTATGGACACAAAATGCAATATTTTTTCATAAAAAGATGTAAAAAAAGAATAATATAACAAAAAAATCAAAAAGAAACCACAACTTTTATATAACTCGAATTGAACTGGGAATCAAGGACAAT